GGGGCGCCGGCTCACCTGCTGCAGCCAGGGCACGATGCAGCCGTCGTGGAAGAGGTGACTGCAGGGCAGCTGCCGCACGCGCTCCCCCAGCCCGTAGTCATCCTTGCACACGGGGCACTCCAGCCCGGAGCCTGCGGGACAGGCGCCCGTGACCCCGAGACCCGCGGGGGAGCCTGCCCGCCGCCCTCCCCCCCCCCCCCCCGCCCGGGCACGCAGGGGCTGAGGCCCCACCCGGCATCCTGCGCGGGCGGGGGGCGGGGAGGGGGGACGGACACGGACAGTGTCGGGACAGGGGCCTAGAGCCACACACCTACGTGCTCCTCGGTGACGGGGACGGTGGGGAGGGCCTGGATTTTCTCTTTGTCTGCAGGCGGGGGGCCTGTGTTTTCAAACTGATTGAGGAGCTGAAAGACAAGAGACCAGAGTGCCGGGAGCTCGGTAGGCAGGCGCGGCCCCTCGCCCCGAAGGGCTCTGAAATGCAAGGCTGGGTTACCTGCAAAAGCACCAAGGCCGTGTTTTTCCTGGTCCCCGGGCCCCCCCACAAGGCTGAGCCCCACGCTCCGACCCACCCGTCCGCATGTCCAGTCAGGGTCACCTTGCACCCAGGGCAGCTGCAGCCCTGGGGACAGCACGACCCCTCCCAGCACCACGGGTCCCACCCAGGGGCTGGTCCCTGAGGCCTCCTGTCAGCCAGAGCCAGAGAGGTGGGTCCTGCCATGGCGAAGTGCACCAGTTCACCCGCGAGAGGCCTCACAAGGGCCGCCAAGTTCACGGTGACCACCCCATCCCCGGGGCAGCTCAGGGGAATGTGGAGGTCCACGTGGGGCACCCCAGCCTCGGGATGGGCGTTATGGAGAGCTGGGGAGCAGGGCATCCACACCAGGGACCCTCTCAGCCTCTGGGAGCAGGGCCCGTCAAGCTCCTCATCCTCAGCAGAAGGAAGGATAGCGACCCCCGTGCCCTCCTCGGGGAGGTGACCCTGTACCTGCGTGATGATGGCATCCAGGCCGTTGGCCCCCCAGGCGTAGTCCATTGGGTTTGAGTGCAGGACACCCCTGCGCAGAGAGACCTGGGGTTCAAGTGGCGGAGGAGCTGGGCAGGGCGCAAGGGGACCCGCCCACCTACTCACCAGGGGCCCAGGCCCAGGCTGGGGATGCTGGCAGGAGTGATGATACCATTGACCAACTGCTGGATGATCCTGGAACAGAGTGGGAGGCCCAGCATGTGGTCAACACCCTCTGAGGCTGGGCACCCCAGAGGAGGAAGCAGAGGAGACACGTGTCCAGCTTCGAAATTCACAGCGTTTAAAGGCCGTGTTTTCAACCAAGATTTGCAAAGACTCAGCCATGAGACAGACCCTCGCCGATCTCTGGGCCAGCTGTCCTGCAAGCCTGGACAGCGCCTGTGAGCGCGAGCCACGTCACATCCGCCCCCTGTCTTACAACCTGGGGGTGCATCCCGGAGGTCCCCAGCCCTGCCATTCGCAGCAGCCCTGAAACGTGCTGGCTGAGGTCGCGGTGAAGCCAAGGCCCGAGCCTGGGGCAGCCGCTGCAGGGCAGCGCACAGACAGGGGACACCAGGGGCATCAGGGCAGCCCAGACTGTGTCCTTGGCTGGCATCGGACAGGACAGAACACATCGGGGCTCCCCGTGCATCGAAACCCATCTTAAGAGACACAGGCGCTGCTCTGTGTACGGCCACGTTCCAGCTACCAAGACGCTGGAGAAGCCTGGCCCTGTCTCCTCTGGGGGTGGGCCCTCCGAGGAACGTTTCCTTTTTACCCCCAGTCCTTCTGAACAAGCCTCAGCCTTCAAGGGAGCCGTCCTGGTGCCAACCCCAGCAGGGAGGGAGCTCGGGGCTCCGCTGAGGAGCACGGATGCCAGAAACCCACCCCATTTGCCTGCCGCCCTGGGAGACAAGGACCCAAAGGGGAACCAGCCGTGTCTGAGCTGACGGGCATGCGGGCAGGGGGTGCAGGGGAGAGGCAGAGACCCCTCTCAGAGCGACGGGGGTAACTGAGGGGACAAGAGGGCCCCTGGCCCTGTCCAGGTCCCGCCGCACCCTCAGGCCCCCGGGCCACACTTTAGGGTCCCCCTCTGCACCCCATCAGCATGGTGGGCTCAGGCAAAACCTGCCTGGATGCAACGGGGAACTGCCCTGCCCAGAGGTCAGCCCCAGAACTAGCATCCACCCCCTCTGTGCCCACAGAACCTCCTAGAAGGGCAGATGGTCAGTCTGCCTGAGTCGGGATGGGGCAGATGTTAAGACTCCCACCCGCTGGCTATCCCGAGGTGCCTCACCCTTCCAGCGTAGGGACGCCTTCGTGCCGGCCGGTGGCCCGCCGTGCAGTGAGGCGGGCGCGGGGCTGCCGGGCACCATACCGGTGCCGGGAGTGTTGCTCTCTCTCCCGCCGGCTCTCGGGGTCCCTGCCCTCATCGGCCTGCACCCCAGGGGGGAACGTGGGGATCTCGAAGCTGTCGTCAAAGATGCCGAAAGCAAACTGGCCGTAGCCCTGCGGCAGCGTGAACAGGTGCTGGTCCACGTTCTGTGGGGAGGAGGGCCGTGATCACGGGCAGGGGCAGGAGCCCTGAGCTGCCACCTTGGGTCCTGCCCAGCCCAGCCCCTTGCCTGGACCCCACGTTTCCTCCGTGCGCCGAGGGGTGCTGTCCTGGGGTCAAGGCTCCGAGGGATGGGGACACACCAAGGGGACCTTGGCATGTGTGGGACAAAGGAGGAAGGAGAGGCCCAGCAGTCAAGGGTCAGGCGGGAGGAACAGTCCTGCAAGGCGAGGGGAGGGGTGGGTAGCTGCCTGCAGGAAAGGGGCGCAGTCTGGGGCCAGACTCACCTCGAATGGTGGCCTGCTCTGGTCCGCGGGGGCTGTGGAGGGGGCGGACCCATTCTCTGTACTCCTGGGATGACGGGCACAAGTCAGCAGTGGGGGTGTCCCACCGGGACCCAGGGCTACTGTCCCCCTCTGAAACCCTGCCCATGCCCTGGGTCAGGAAGGGGGGGCCATCTCCCCTAAACCCCCCCCCCCCACCGTGGCCCATCCAGGCTCTGTCTGCCCCCAGAACTGAACCAGCATTCCGTGCAGCACCCCGTGTCCCGGCCACAGGCCCCCCCCCCCCCCCCCCCCGGGGCCCGGCCCGGCCCGCGCGCACCCAGGCGGTGTTACCTGGTCTCTTCTGGAAGCTCCTCAATAAAACCAGACTCGCACCTGGGGCAGATGTAATCCTGCAGAGGAGAGGGCAGGTGAGTGCGATCTTGGGGTCCCTGCCCCCAGGCTGTGCTAGCTGGACATGCCCACAGGACCGCAGCCTGCAGAGGATGAGCTCCAGGCACACCTGTGAAACTGCTCAAGCCCAGAGTCAGAGCTGGCAGAGGCCCCGCTGGGTGGCCCTGGGTGGGGCCTGTGCGCGGACACCCATCAGCCGTAGCGTCAACCTCTGTGTCTCAACGGCTGGAGCCCCCCGGACCTGCTGCCCTGGTGCAGGTGAGGCCCAAGCTCCCCGGTCATCTCCCCACCATCCCACAGTCCCACAGTCCATCAGCCTATGTTCCTCGGGATGACAGAAGTCATTTCAAGGTCTCCACTCAACCACATCAGCTGTTGAAGGCTCTGACAAGGCCTGGACCAAACGGGCCAGCTGACGTGGGTCCACCGAGCAGTTCCTGACTTGCACAGATGGAGAACATTCTGTGAGTGCCCCCCACGTGCACAAAGAGGCACCTGCCCCAAGCTCCGGGGGAGGGGTCACATGGGTGACCATGGAGCCCCAGAACTATGGAGGCCTCAGTAGCTCAAGTCCCAGAAGGGGGCCACGGAGGGTGGGAAGCACCATCCAGGCACAGGGACCAGCCTGTGGGTGTCCTGTGGTGGCATTTCTGTAACGTTCCAGCAGCCCTGGCACAGGGCCTGTGACCCCATCCCCACTGGCCACGCCCCCTCCCACCCCTGGCCCACCAGTGCTGTCCCAACTGGAGAGTGGGCAACTGGCCCCGGGGGAGCCACAGGCACAAGCCCACAGCCGTGGGTCCCAGAGCCACACAACCAGCCACCAGTGCAGGGTCTGCCGCCGCCTGCTGAGTGGGAGAGAAGGTGGGGGGGATGGCTGCTGACAGTCCCAGGGGAGCCACAGGTAGAAGGGCCAGGTCCCTCCCTCCATCAGGGCAGTGGGCGCCACCACAGCACAGGCCACGTCCCCTCACCTTCCCACACGCCGAAAGCAAAGGGGGCCCCAAAGGACACTGTCTGAGCCAAGTGGGGAGCACAGGAAGGAGGTGCACAGGTCCTAAGAACTGGTATCCAGGGCGTATAAATGACTAACGGCTCAGCAACAAAAACACAAACAACCCAGTGAAAAAATGACCAAAGAACCAAGACAGTTCTCCAAAGACACACGGATGACAGTGAGCTGGAGGACGCTCAGCACCGTGGGGCAGCAGGGAAAGGCAAACCAGGGCCTGGAGACACCACCTCAGGGCGGCCAGGACGGCCCGACTCCCAACACACAATGACAAGTGCCGGCGAGGACATGGAGACCTCAGAACCATCCGCCACGCCGGCGGGGACAGTCACGCGGTCCCTCGAAAAGTTGCACACGGAGTCACCGGACGACCCTGCAATTCCACGGCTGGGTACACGGCCGAGGCACGAAAACGCACGTTCACACCAAACCCGCAAGTGCACGTCCACAGCGGCCCCACTCACGGCAGCCAAAGGGCGGCGACAGCCCCCGTGTCCGTGGGCAGGTGGACATGGCCCACCCACGCAGGGGAGTGTCCCGCGGCCGCAGGCAGGAACCAGGCGCCTTCACACACGGCCCCGGGGACGGACCCCGAGCCCACGACGCTCAGGGAGGGAACCAGACACAGAAGGCCACGCGGGGTGTGCGTCCACGTGGGTGACACGTCCGGAACAGGCTCATCCGCGGACGGGAAGGGGGCTCGTGGGGGTGGGGGTTGGGGGAGGGGTGACGGCTGATGGGGACGGGGTTTCCTTTGAAGGTGATGGAATGTTCTGGAACTGGATGAGGTGGTGGGTACAGGACTCCTGAGTGTACAGGAAACAACGAGGGCACACTGTGAACAGGTGAGTTGTATCTCAACAAAGCCACCAGAGGAGCAGCAAGGACAGCACCCTTTGCTCCTCCGAGTAGGGACGTGGGGGCAACGGGCAGCTCTGCAGCACAGTGAGTGACCAGCCCTCAGCACGTGGGGCGAGGGTTCTCACTGCCTGGTAGAGCCTCCAGGGGAGGGAGGGTCAGGGCACCGGCTGATGTGGCTGCAGGTGTCCGTGGTGGCCTCGGTTAGGATCCTGGGAATCAAACCACCGCTGGGCATGGCCGTGTCACAGACAATACTGGGTGTCTGCCCAGGGTTGCCCTTGGCTCAGGGTGGGCAGGAAGGTCCAGGCTCTCTCTGTGTCCTGGTGGAGCCCACCCCACACACACACCTGCCCTACAGATGAGACAGAAATCAGACGTGTGCCTGCCGTCTCCAAGCGGGATGGCGGGGCTGGGGAGGGCCTATGTGAGAAGCTGTCCCTCCCTCTCATCTGAGCATGCCGCCTGTCCCCAGCCAGCCTGGAGGAGCCAGAGCAGGGCTGGTGTGGCAGGTGGCCTCAGCCTGACCTGCTGGCAAACAGGCAACCTCTCCTGCCATTACTGAGGCCTGCGGCTGCTCCTGAGCGTCACCTGGGAGCGCCATCTCACACAGGGCACAAGCTCCTCATCCACTCTCCCGTGTGGTCAGCTCAGGACACCCCAGCCTGGCCACTCCCGCTCCCCTGCCCCATCCAGGCCACCTCCACCTGCCCTCTCTTCTCAGGGCCTGCACACCATCCCCTTTGCCGGAGTGTTCTCCCCCGATAGCTACCTGGCTTGCCCCCTCTCGGAAGTCGGGTCTCTGCTCAAACGTCACCTCCTGGCTGCAAGCCTCGGACTCCCCACCTGTAAATGGAGGATGGCCTCAACCCTAGGGCTCTGAAATCCAGCAGCCACTGGGGACCGGAGGGCTACGGCTCCACGGCTGGCTGTGGTCAGGGCCCTGCCTCTGTGTTCTCTGTGAATCCAGGTTGGCCTGTCGGAGCCGTGGCCCTGACACCGAGGAGTTCAGCAGGCTCCACCCTCTGCTTCTAGGCAGTGGGGAAGGGACCAGATCTGGGGGTGTTCCAGTGCTCTCCCCCTCCAAGGGCACACCCCAGAGTTTCTCTTAAACCCGAGGAGCCAGTAATAGAAAACTGCAGCCAAGCAAGGAGACCCTGGACGGAGTGTTTGCAGCCCACAGGGCAGAGCCTGCCTACCGAGCCTGGGTCCAGGTGGTGGCAGCCCCACGCTCCCAGCCCTCCAGTGTGAGCACCTGTCTCTAATCGATGGCTCCTCATGGTGAATTAGTGACCTCTCCCCCTAGGAGGGAGGGAGGGGACCACCGCAGCAGCATCACCAACAGTGGTGGCCAGAGCACCGAGGACAGGATGGACAGACGCTCAATTCTCTGAGCGCTCGCTCCTCACGCTCAGCCCCCATGATGCGCCTAGGTGGTGCGGCTCAGCCCTCCTCAGTGACAGGGAGGTCAGCTGGGGCGGCCCTCAGGAGCAGGCACCAGCCCTCATTCATGCGCTCCTTCACAGCATGGCCAGGCAAGTACGGTTACACCGGGGAAACTTCGGCAGGAGTCAGAGAGGTGGCTGGCCCCACAGGATGGTCTGCTCTATGGTGACGCTGGGCTCTGTAGGCCCAGGCCCATCAGGGCCCCTCCAGAGGAGGCAGAGCTCCAAGTGCAGTGCAGACATCGGAGGGACAGGGACTCAGGCCCAAACACAGACGCGATGGGACTCCCGCACCCCTGCAGCCCCCTGCTCACCAGCCCACGAACCGCAGGAGCACACCTGCTGCCCCACACAGCCGTCCTCAGCTGTCACTGGGCAGAAGGACCTGCCCAGACCCCATGGGAAAGCTGGCCCTGCCCCTCACCACTCCCCAGCCCCCCTGCACTTTATTCTTGGGGTCTCAGCAGCAGCTACCACATCCCACGTTCACACCCCATCTGTCCCCCGAGCATCTATGAGCATCATGCACACTGCCGAGTGCCGGGGTGCAGAGCCACACCAGGACCTGGCAGTGTGTGAGGCCCGCTGCGAGCCAGAGATGTGCGCGCACAGCCCAGCACTCGTTTCCACCCAGGGGTACCCGATCCCACCTTCCTTCATCTTCCCAGGGTGCTTCAGGCACCACTGCCAGCCAAGACCCCTCAGGACAGGACACATGTGCCCACCATACCGGGGGTCCCCTCACTTCGGCCTGCCACATGGCTCAGAGGCCTGGGGCTCCCCAGGGCATGGCTCAGCCCAGCATTCAGCCACCTCTTTGGGGCTCAGCCTGCTTCCGCCCCTACTGACTTCAGACCCTGCGCAAACACCAGCCCTCTTTGGAGTACCCACTGTGTGGGGCTGCAGGGCGGGGTCCACGTTCCCCGGGGTGGGGGTGGGGCAGCTCACACATCGAGGCTCCCTAGGCATCCCTGGTGCCCGATCTCAACTCCATGCTCTGCACTGCCAGCGAACCACCGGAGTCAGTTCCACACTTAATCTCCCCAGGGCCCCGGTTTCTGCAGCTGCAAACGGACGGCTCACCACGGGGCAGGGCCTCCCTGCCACAGGCAGGGCCCAGTACGGCACAGAGCACACGGCCACACAGGGCTGTCCGGTGGCCAGAGGGTCCAGAACGAGGCCACATGGTGCCTGGGAGGCGGGCCCAGACCCATGGAGGGCTCCGTGGAGAGGACTCCACTCATTCTGCTAAAAACTGAGGGCCAGGACTTCTCCAGGCCCCTCTAGGAGCAAGGGCAGCGGGCGCGTGAAGAGCGCGAGGGCAGGCCGGTTCTCTTCACCCCAGCACCCCTCCAGGCCCCGTCTCTGTCCAACCGTGCACTCAGGACGTTTCTGAGAAGGAAAGCAGTCACCATCAATGAGACGACCGGCAGAAAGAGGGCCATCGAAGGCGCAACAAGGAGCTCAGGGCGTGAGGACCCCAGACTTCCACCTGCTCCGTCCACCTGGTGGGACCCTGCACCTCCTGGCAAGCCCTGTGGACGCCAAGCACAGCCGGGCTCTGACCATGGACGCTCTGCTTCCACAGACCCACAGTCACGCCACCCAAACCAGCAGCACGTCCACCGCATCCCCAGTGCTGCCGTTTCCCGGGAAGGATCGAGTCTGGGCTTGTGCGCCAGCGGGCCTGTCTGGCTCCTGCTCCCACATGCCCTGCCCCAGCTAGGCCGCAAGCCTGTCCCTGTGCGTCCTGTGGGTCAGGTGCTGGGCTCCTTCACACACACACACACACACACATGCTCCCACTGGGCCCCACTGAGTGGGCACGGGTTAGCTCCTCAAACCCATCTTGCAGGCGGGGAAACTGAGGTCCAGGGACCTTGAGCGCCTCGCCCAGAGCCACATGGCGGAGATGTGGCACAGCTGGGTGCGGCCTCAGCCTGATCCTGCAGAGAAGCCCCCGAAAGCAGGTACTGTCTAGGGTCTTTGGAGGGACCACCGCAATGACAAAAATCTAAGGTAGGAACTGCACACAAGCCAACCCCAACGCCCTGTAGCACACTAACACCGGCACCACCTTCCCATGAACAGAACACGCCGCCACGGGGGCTAGGACCTTCCACCGCTACCAGGTTAGCTGAGTGTGCATTGCCGGCCCCACGACACCAGGGGTGCCCCTTGCTGATAGACAGTCATCCCGTCTACTGCGCCTCGTGGAATCCCACTCCAAACCCACAAGCAGGCACACTCCTTACTGTTACTTGCTTTTACAGAATTCACCAGCACTCCCAACTAAATATTTGCCATCACTTACTCAACACTGGCTCCCCGACCAGCCTATAAACTCTGAGGACAAAAGTCAAGGATACCTTGACACCCCTGGATTCTGTGCTTAGGAAGGTCCTCACCAGCCTGGCGACAACTGCAAGAGGTCAGGGTCCTCCAGGTCCAAGGCCACACGGCCAGGAAGCGGCCACACCTGGCCAGAACCCAGGCCCTGTGCTGGCCCCAGAAGAGGCCCAGAGCAGACAGCTGTGCAGACACTGCCCAGCCCCAGCACAAAGCAGGCCACTCTGGGGGAAGCCCGAGACCCAGGGCCTGTTGCGGGGCTGCTACCAGCTGCAAGGGGCTGTATGCAATTAATCTACGCTGGTGAGCGGTCAGGGGACCAGCCCCTTCCTGCCATGGTCGAGAGAGGTTCCGAGTTGGGGCTGCAGAAAGCCGGAAGGAGGCAGAAGCAGGACTTCCGGGAGGGAGGCCGAGTGGGGCAAGTCTCAGCGCCCGCAGCAGGTGCTCACACATCTGAGGTTTCATTTTGTTTTTCCCTCTTCTCCTGAGAAGGAAGGAGCCCCTTGCCTCTGGAAGCCACACCTCCCTACCTTTCCCGGCCTCCTGGGCCCAGACACCGCCGTCTGCTCCACACCCCGACTTCAGCCCACTCTCCTTCCCTGTGGCTGGGAGGATGCCCAAAGACGCCTTCCCCGGCCCCCTCCCGGCCCCCTCCTCCCAGGGGTCCCCACAGCTGGAAAGGCGGACCCGAGTCTGGCTCTGACACCGGAACAGCCTCCATCCACCATCCACCACCCACAAGCCAGACGACGGTGGGGAGCATGCCACCCGCAGATGAAGTACAAGGAGAGCACCTAGAAGGTGCTCAGGAAGTCCTCACCGCCGGCAGCCCCTTCGCCGAGGCCGGGGAGGGCTCCCAATCCCGCACCTCCCTCTTCCCGTCCCGCCTGAGCTGGCCCAGTGGCAAACGTCGGGACCACGGCTGGCCTGAGCTTCCCGGGGTTTCAGATTTTGCACCTGTAAGGCTGGAGAGGGTCGGACGGGACCACGGCCTTCCCTTCCGGCCCGGGGCAGGGAAACACGGGTCCCACCCTGGACCTCCGGGATGAGGAGCCTGGAAAGCTGTAGCCTTTAACAAGCGGCCCCCTCCCGCAGCACCCGGTTTGAGACACGTTGGCCCTACAGGGGCAGAAAGCAACACCTGGCCACAGGCTGGCCTCACCGCGCCCCCACCCCCCAACTCCAGGGAAGCTCAAAAACGCAGGCCCGGGTCACAGAGATCTGCCCGGGGCAGCTGTCAGGCCCGGCCCAGGTCCACCGCCTTCTCGTCCCGACCACGGGAGAGCGGGCGGGAGGGCGCCACCGGGCGGCCCGCAGCCAGGCGCCCGCAGCGTCGACCACGCGCGCCGGGAACGGCCCCCCGGTCCCCCCCACCTCTCTCCCGCTGGGCGGCGTGCCGAGCGCAGGTGACGCGGCCTCCGCGGGCCTCAGTTTCCCCATCGGGGACCGAGGCCACGCATCTGCGGTCATCGGCCTCGCCGCGCCCCCGGGGGGCGGCCCCCGCCTCCGGGCCCTCCGCAGAGACCCGGGCCGACGCCGCCCGGGCCTCAGTTTCCTCGTCGGAGCCAGCTCGCCTCAGGCCGAGGGAGAGAGCTCCCGCCCGCCGCCCCGGCCCGGGCCTCACCGGCAGGCGCGGCACGATCTCGACCGAGCAGCAGTGGCAGAAGTACCGTCCGGGCTGCGGCGACGCCTCGGCCATGGCCACTGCCGCCTCCTCCGCGCCGCCCGCCCCCCGCGCGGCGCCCGCCGCCGGCCGTTTGCTGCTCCCTTGCCGGCCGACGCGCCCGCGCACGCTCACGCAAAGCACGCAAGGCACGCACGGCGTGGGGTGGAGAGCGCGCGGGAGCGAGGCAGGCGGCGCGCGCGGCAGGCGCCGGCCCGGACGACGGTGGTCGCCGAGGGACAAACGCGGCGCGGCCGCCTCTCGCGGGCACTCCGGGCAGGGGGGCGGGGCCAGGCCTGGACGACCAGGGGCGGGGGGCCGAGGAGGGGCGGGGCCTATCTCCTTGGCAACCGGTTCAGGGGGCGGGGGTGTGGCTGGGGGCGAGGCCCGGCTCCGAGCTGCGAGGAGGCCGGGGGGCGGGGCCTGCCTGGGGTGGGGTCGAGCCCCTCCTCTTCTCCAAAATAGGCGAAAGCTTCCACTTCCCTCACTGTATCTCCCACCTCAAGTACCACCGTTCCATCCCCTCCCTGTTCTGGCTGGTGCGAGGCACCGGACGCGCTCTCACCTCCGGGCCTTTGCACTGGCTGTGCCCCTGCCGGGTGCACCCCAGACACCTGGGTGGCTGCCCTCGCTTTTCTCCAGTCTTTGCTCAAATGTCTCCCCTACTGAGACGCCCTTCTCAATATTTCCACCTGATAAACGGTAGGGTCGGCCCCACAGGAGAAGGGATGTTTGTATCTCGTTCCCAGCTGGACTCAGGACAACGCCTGCTACACAGGTGTCCCATAAACCCTCGTTCAATGAATGCAGAGGAGAGACCCATTCCGGGGTCGAAGGAGGGCTGCCCTCTGTGCCACAGTATGACCCATGGGAGAAGTGAGTCTGAGGCCTGCTGGGTGTGGCCTTGTTTCTGAGAACGAAGGAAGCCTAACCTCCCCCCCCCATCCCACAAAATTAATCAGCAAAAAATTCGTTATCACCCAGCACAGGCCGGGATCAATTCTGAGGTTAATTCCAGCCCAATCACGCATGTATTTATTTATCCACTCAACAAGACGTTCATTGAGCACCGGCTGCATACCAGACCTTGTGATGGGTGCAAGGACACAGCGTGGAAAACAACTCAACGGGCAGTGAAAACGGCTCCGTGGCTCGGGGAGACACCCCAGCCCCATGAGATTGAGCCAGGGGATGTGTCCCTAGGGTGGTGCCAGCTCTGCCTGGGGAGACAGACCGACGGTTTCCTAGGGGAAGGGGCATTTGAGCCAGGGCTTCGAGGAATGAATAGGAGTAGGTTGGAGTTGGGCTTCCCACAAAAGGGGCCATTGGAACCAGAGTGCCAAGCAATTAAAAATTGGAGCCTATATATAAAAGATCTTGAATGTCAAGAGGCTAGGGACAAGGACTTGTCTGCCAGCCAGTCTTGTCCCCCTTAAGGTTCAGGGGTGATTCCAAGCCATTCCTGCTCTGGAATGGAAAGCATGCTGGTCCCATCACTGGGAATCCAGGAAACCCCAGGTCCAAGGAAGGGCAGTTTGCCTCAGGCCTCTCATGCCCAGCCCCTTGCCCATTTCAGACCACAAACATGTCCATGCTTTCATTCTGCAGAAGTTCATGAGGTATCGCCCAAGAGGCCTGTGTTCAAGCCCCACCAAGCCTTGCTGGCTGTGTGTCACTTAATTCTCTGTACAGATGGCAGAACCTGCCTCCCAGAGTTTTGGGACTGGATGAGGCTTGGAGCACACATGGGTGTGCTCACCGGACCCTGCTGCCTGCCCTAAGTTCATCTGCCCCTCGCCCACCCTTCCCCCAACCCAGCCTCACTGGCTCCCTTGGGTGGGCCAAGCTGCAGCTAACCTCGGGACGCTTGTCTGGTCCCGCCCTCTGCTGGGAGTGCCCTTCCTGCCGTCCCTTCTCTTTCCCTGCTTCTCGGGAGGCTGCCTCAATCCCTTCCTGAGGGAGTCCCCTCCCATACTGCACCCTGATGCCCAGCACCCTCTTTCCTTCTACAGCCACCCCTAAATCCAGGAGTTATCAATGGCATCGCCTAAAACATGAGACCAGTTCTCAGCCTATAGTCAGTGTCCCATAGATTCTTGAATACATGAATAATTAGTGAGACCCTGGGGCGCCTGGGTGGCTCAGTTCATTAAGCGTCCGCCTTCGGCTCAGGTCATGATCCCAGGGTCCTGGGATCGAGCCCCACGGAGCAGGGAGCTTGCTTCTCCCTGTCCCACTCCCCCTGCTTGTGTTCTCTCTCTCGCTGTGTCTCCCTCTGTCAAATAAATAAATAAAATCTTTAAAAAAAAAAAGATATTAAAAAAAAAAAATAGCGAGTCCCTGCTGGGTGCCGGCCCCAGGCACAGCTCTGGGAATGCAGTGGGAACAAGAAACCAGGGTTTTGTATATTGTAAAACTAAGAGCTCAGTATGGGCCTGAAGTTGAATCTTCCTGCCAGCACCATGATGTGAAGACAACTGAGTCCCCATTTTACAGCTGGGGAGACTGAGGGTGCACACAAGGTCATGCAGCAAGGCCAGGACTCGAGCCCGGGGCCACTGGGCCTCTGTGTCCTCTGTGTGGGCCCTTGCCTGCTGGCCACCCTGGGGCTGGGCATCGGAACGCCAGCACTCAGGCCGTGTCTGCATATAACCCAGTGGCTCTGGGGTTCTGGGGCCCTCAAGGCACCCGTTTGTGGCCAGGGCCCTGCACAATAAAACACAGGTGGCTCCTGATGGGTTTCCCAGCCTTTCCTTGAAAAGGCTTTGAGAGTGGATTATGGAGGTAGGGTGGCACCTGGCCCCTACAAATCCCCCAAGGGCAGGACCATGCCTCCCCCTCAGACTTCCCACAACACGGTTGTGCTCCCCTCTTATTAGACACTACAGGACAAGGACAGACAGCCCCTCCGAGACGGTCTTCCATCTGTAAAATGGGTCTCCCTCCTGCCTCCCAGGGCGGCTGCCTCTGTAAATGGCAGCTGTCTAGTCACCAGACCTTTGTGTGTGTGTGCCTTCCCCTCTGCCTAGAGCATCCTCTCCTTCCGCTGCCACCATGCTGAGTCAGGAGCCTCGTGGGCAGAGGGGAAGTTGCCCTGACAGTCAGTCTACACCCATCTGAGTTTCCCCCCTGGGCAGGTGACTCCTGCTCTTGCTAGGTTTCCTTGCCTGTGGCCCAGGGACACAATAGTGGGGAGGGTTCAGCAGGTGAAGCCTCTCCTAATCCTCTGCCAGGTTCAGCCTTTTTTTCTGGCGTTGTAGTGTGTTTTGATCTCGATTTCGGGCGAGGGACCATGTTCAAACTTCTTTTCTAGCTCATTTATTTTTCCAGGTGAATGTTAGGACCTTGTCTCAGGTGGGACAATTCCATGGAGATTACGACTGAAACTGCATTCAACTAAGTGAGCTGGTAGCATTAAGTGCCCTGTCCTGGCCCAGATGGCCAGGTGTGCGCTCATGTACTCACCTACTCGGGTTCAAATCAAGCCTCAGGAAGGGGTCTGGGAGAGCTCTGGGGCCGGAGAAAGCAATCACCCATGTTGCAGGCAAGAGACTGAGGCACTGAGCAGGAAGGGCACTGCCCCACTGGGCAATATTCCTACAGAGGAACAGTCTACTTATGCAGGTTTTGGGTTTGTTTGTTTTTTGTTTTTTTAATCTTATTTGTATATTTTGAGTTATGCCTTTTTTCCCTTTTTATGTATATCTGTTGGTTCATATTTTTTAAAATTTCTATTTTTTCATTTTATTCATACACACCCAGGTGTATCTCCAAAAGCAGGCTACTCCTTTAACCCGAACCAACAGCACTTTACCAAACAACGGGGTAATCAGTAGGAAAGACACAGAGCCGAGGTCAATCTACAGCCTCAGCCACGTCGGCTGCTCATCTTCGTCTTGGTTCCGCATCCCGCTGTGTTGTCAGTTCTTCCCCCGGGACATTCCTTGGCCGTGACCTTGACACACTGGCACGGGCTCGAGTCAGGCCAACGGAGTGCTCATGCCTCCTCTTCCCGTTCACAGTCCCGTCCCCGAAGCAAACACAGAGGATGGGCCAGGAGGATGAATGGATGCACGAAGGAGAGGAGGAAGGGACGAGGTCCCCCGCTGCGCGAGTTAGGGGTAACGGGAAAAGCCCCGATGGGGGACAGCGTGGCGGACGGCAGCGCGCTGTCCCGTCCCAGGGGAGACCAAACCCCGCGGGACCTCGCTGTGCTGAGCCGGCCGATAAATAACCAACGAAAAAGGGCAGCGGCCACGGACTTGTGCTCACGTCACACCGGGAACTGTGCCCAGCCACCTTGGCGGGAATGCCTCGACTGTCCCCATTTCCCGGGAGGCGCAGGGTGGCAGCTTCCGGGCCGGGAAGGGTGTCCCCCCACCCCCGCTCCCCGGGCGGCGGCGGGGCCAGCAGCGGCGGGTTGCCCGAGGGCCCGCCGCGGGGACACGGCCGCGCGCAGCAGCGCGTGTACGCACGGCCGGCCGCCCGCGCGCCCGCGCTGAGCACTGCGACCCCCGACACACCTGCTGTCGGCGGCTGAGCCCGCCACAGGCTCCGGATCTCCAGCACTGCGAGCTAACCATCTGTGCGGCCGGACTGGCCCTAATTTGTTAGAGCAGCAAACTGGAAACTAATACCTCCAGCTCTCGCCGGTCACATGCACGCTTTGCTCTGCCCGGCCGGGTCTCCCAGGCCCCACCCCAGCAGGCTAGCTCTCCAACCATTGGCCGGGGCTAGGTCACATGGCCGCATCTAAGCCAATGGCCAGCAAGAGGAGTGGCCGACATTACGTAGGTCCTGTTCGGCCTATCAACATTCACCTCTGGGCTGGGGGTGGGCCCTACCTTCAGTGGCAAATAATACTGCCTGCTTCCTGCACAAAATCTGTTCCCTTTGCGGGGGAGGGGTTGGGGTAGGGGCCCTTGGATGGCGTGGAAGAGTTGCCGCGGGAATGGGCTTGGATTGAGCAGGAAGGGCCTGGAACCCAGGCTAAAAAGCCAGGACTTTGTCTAGGGGCCATGGGGAGCCACGGGTGGCGTTTGAGAGGGGAGGGCAATCCCATGAAGGCGTTATGAGGCCCAGCTCTGATCAGGGTTCTGCCATAGCATCCACCACGCCCGAGTCTTCGGTTGCTGCCTTGGCTATCAGCATCACATGCCCTATTAGAGAACCCACGAGGCTTTGCTGGCCAGAGCCCTGACCGTTGCAGGTCCTAGTGCAAGGGCGGTAGATCTTAAGTTGATGTGGAGTCTATCCCAAGCCTTCTTCTGATTGAGGGAGGTGGGAGGAGGTGACCCTGAGAGTTCTGAGGTTATATCCTGGAGGCAAAGGTTGGCACTTCAGGGTATGCGTGGTTGCTATAGCCCCTGCAGATGCGCTGCTCTGGGTCCTAAAGGCTCCACTTGAATAAAATGTAAACGGGCTTAGTGAAAGCTGGTTTTGTCCACTTCAAGTGACAGAAACTCAGCTTAAATGGACTTCATCTTATTGGGGTGGAGGAATTCAGGCACAGCTGGATCCAGGACCTCGAATTACAGTACAGGGAGTTTCTGCTGCCCCTCTTGGCTCAGTGTCCCACTGGCCTGGCTTCTCGCTGGCCATTGGTAGGAGCCACCTGCAGCTCCAGGCTCACACCCCTCCGACTCAGGCAGGAAGTGGGTGTCTCCTTCCCAGAAAAAAAAAATCTCAGAGCTGACTCCTCCTGGTTTGCTGAGTGCCAGATGACCCTAATTGGTTGAGCCTGGGTTGGTGCCCACTCCTGGGATCATTTGGGCTGGGAGCACAGGAGGTGATTACTCCAAGGAAAATCTGGTGCTGGGACCAGAAGGGGGGATGCCAGCCACAATCTGGGGGCTGGCTGTCATTGTCCAGTCCAGAAGAGGAGGGCCCTGCCCCACAGCTCAGCACATGGGTCCTGGAATCCTGCTTATCTGGTACTGATGCCAGTCCCAACACTGTGGGGCTTTGTGACTGCCAGAAAGTCACTTTCCTTCCTCCACCCTCTGTAAAATGGGTGCATGTCTCACGGCATCAGTGAGTGGCAAAGAAGGCTCATCACGCATCTTCTCCAGACAAACACCTATCTGCTAATTAATAAGCATCTGTATACACATGTCATGCCCCTGCTGTGCACCAGGCACTGTCCCTGGCATCCTGGCTGGAATCTGCAGTAAGGGGATCTGTGCCCATTTTACAGATGAGAAAATGGGTTACAGAGCAGTCACACACGTGGCCTGGCCAAGGTGGCACATCCTGCACTGGACTCCCACCAGAAGGCTTCTTCTCCCTCCAGGCCTCAGGGTCACCTCCTTGGAGACCCCACAACCTCCCTGCTCCCAAGGGCCTCTGTACCACCACCCGTCTTCATACTTGTGCTCACTCCTTTGTTTGTCTCCGGCAGATGGGGACCCTATCACTGAGGCACCAAGCCCAATTTGTGGTGCCTGCCTATTGCTGCTGTAACAAATTGCAACAAACATGGCGATTTTAGAACAACACAAATTTTCCTCTTCTAGTTCTGGAGGTCCGAAGTCCAACATGGGTCTCACTGAACTAGAATCAAGGTATTGGTACAGTTGCATTCCTTCTGGAGTCTCAGGGGTGGGAGGATCTGTTCCTTGTTTTTCCAGTTTCTGTTTGTTTTTTTTTTTTAATTTTTTGAAGATTTTTTTGTTTGAGAGAGAGAATGAGAGCGCATGAGTGAGTGGGGGGAGGAGCAGAGGGAGAGAGAGAATCCCCAGCAGACTCCCCGCGGGGCAGGGAGCCCAACACGGCGCTCGATCCCAGGACCCCGAGATCATGACCTGAGCCGACGTCAGTTGCTTGACCGACTGAGCCACCCAGGCGCCCCAACGAGTGCCCTCCTTAATGTCCATCACCCACCACCTCCTTCCATCAACTCTCAGTGTATTCTCTGCAGTTGAGAATCTCTTAGGAGCACCTGGCTGGCTCAGTCAGTAGAGCACGCGATGCCTGGTCTCAGGGTTGTGAGTTCAAGCCCCGTGTTGGGCGTGGAGTCTACTTAAAAAAAAAAAAAAAAGTCTTTTATGGTTCGTGTCCTCCCTCCCTTTCTCCCCTTTCCCCTATGCTCATCTGTTTTGTTTCTTGAATTCCACATATGCGTGAAATCATATGGTGTTTGTCTTTCTCTGACTTACACGTTTCCAGCTTCTAGAGGCTGTTCAGATTCCTTGGTTCCAGGCCCTTCCTCCACCTCCACAGCCAGCAATGGCAGGTCCCGTGCGTCTCTCTGACCACAGAGGGAAGTGCTTTCTGCTTCTGGTGACCCTCTGATTCCCCTGGGCTCGCCTGTGTGATCCAGGACCCTCTCCCGTCCAAACGTTTGAGGTGGGCTTTCTCTTACCGGGAGCACAAACACCCTACCATTCTTGTTCCTGCAACCCCTTCCTCACCATTGTTCAGTCCAATGCGATTGAAACGTCCTCCTCTGAGGAGCTGGCCGTGACCTCCCCGGTCGGCATTGGGCACAGCACCCTCCATCAGGACCCTGATCCCTCTGGATGGTTGTGGCCTGTTTCCTGTGGGGCCTGGAGGAGTGAAGCCCAGGGCCATGGGCGGTCACGGGGGACGTCTGAGCTGGGGAGGGGCCTCCTGTTAGCCCGCTGGGGCAGGAAGTAGGCTGCAGGGGATGAGGCTGAGGCCAGTTGAGGGTGGAGAGAAAGGCATGAAAAGGGGGCTCCCCAAAGAGGGCCAATGACTTGCTTTAGGTCACCCAGCACATGGCCTCCGGGTTGGGGAGATGTGCCAGGTCGGGGGGTGGGGCAGGAGGCTGCTGGCAATCACCCTCAGTTTCGAACCCACGCCAGGCTGACAATAACCCTTTGGTTTGCACAACCCAGGCTGGGGTGGCTGAGCCGTGGCAGGGTCAGGTCTCGGCCAAGGTCACAGTGTCCAGCTCTTGCACGCCCTGGATGAGAACACAGGGTCCCATCCCGGCCCCATTCCCCCACCAGGGGAGAATCCCTTCACAGAGGGGCCAAGGACAGGCCAAGACAGTCGGGTGTCCTCCCTCCGTGCCACTAGGCAGGAACGTGGCCCTTGGCTACTGGTGGGGGCACATGGGTCAGGCTGAGCAGCTGAGATGGAGGAAGGGGTCTAGGCATGGCATATTCTGGTGGCAGACCTCGTGCATATGGAAGGTCTGTGGTGTGTGGTTGCAGGGATCTTTGGCTTCCACATCCGGGGCAGGGGAAGATGCAGGAATGGGAGGTGATGCGGTGGCATCATCACCCCCGTGAGATACCCCATTGTTCTCCGCCTCTTTTATTTTCCTGAAAGCATTTACCACTCTTTGAAGTTATACATTAACTTGTTCATCTATGTATTTTGTTTCTACGGCCCCTACAAACCATGGGCTTGGTGATGACAAGACCAGGTCAGCCTTGGTCACCTGGTATGCCAGCACACCCCCAACAATTCTTGCCATAAAGAGATAGTCATTATTTCTTAGAAATTCAAACAGAGAGGGGCTGTACAGGACCCACGAGCATTTGGAGACTGCCCTGACAATTTTGGGGGGAGCCCCAAAGATAGGAGGGATGAACTCCAACATAGGAGGAGCATCTGGCTGCCCCAAGGCCCCAGTGGATTCAATTCTTTCCAGGGCCATTCTGAAGTCTGATATCACTGTCGTAAATTGTGGAAAGGCTGGGATTCTGGGTGGTCAAGGGCTCCAGATACATAGAGCAGAGAACCCAAGGAGAGGAAAAAACCCTAAGCCAGTAAGTGCTTTTCAATGGGGCCTGGGAGGACCATTTGCAAAGGTCTGGGAGGGGAGCGGGGGGTTGGTGCGTCTCCCAAAGGCCAGGCTCAGGGGCCACACTCTGGAAGTCTTTCGGAAGGGTCACTGCTGTCCCCGACGCTGAGGCCATTTGTGGCTCTGGTCTCCTGCTGCCGCACCCCTCTGCCTCTGCTGCCACCCAGCCCCGGCCCATCCCCACGGGCTCCCACCCAGCCGAGCCCACTGGCTGCAGCGGCCAGGGGGAGTGAGCGGGGCGGGGGTTGGTGTGAGTGGGTGGATGTTGCTGGGGCCGAGGTCTCCGGAGTGTGTGGGCGCGTTGGGGCGGGGAAGAGGTTAGGGGCCCAGTTCACACTTGGGCCACATGAGCGACCGCTTGCAATCCACGACGTGATACACGGATCCCGCTCCCCGTGGGCCTCCAGTTAGCTCAGCCACAGCCCTCCGGCTGAAGACCCCCCCCAAACTCACGGTGAGCCCCTGGAACTCACACCCACCACCGGTTTGGCCCTCTCGCGCTGGCCACAGGGACACCTTCCCAAATTCTCGGGCTCCCAGGGCGGACCCCCAATCCCCACCAGCTGCCCTCGGGGTGGCCAGGCCCAGCCCCTGCACACACCGTGCGCGACACTGCCTCGCGCCCCGCCCCGGCCCGGCCCCGCCCCGCCCGCAGCCAGCGGGACCTTTATAGGGAGCGCCCGGCCGCGGCGCGCTGGGAAGTCGGTGCCGCCGCCCTCCCAGCCGCCTGCTCGCCCGCCCGCCAGCCCGCGCGTCCGACGCGGGGGCCGCCGCCGTCTCTGCGTCCGCCATGCGTCCCGGGACGCCGGGGCCACTGTGGCCACTGCCCTGGGGGGCCCTGGCTTGGGCCGTGGGCTTCGTGGGCTCCGTGGGCTCCGTGGGCTCGGGGGACCCCGCGCCCGGTGAGTGGGGCGGCCGGAAGGGGCGGGCGGGGTGGGCCACCCACGTGGGCCTGCCCGGAATGCGGGCCTTGGGGGAGATGTTGGGGGGCGCGGGGAGGGTGGCAGCTGGTGATCGGAGGCCTCCTCCTCAGGTTCAATCTGGGAGGGCTTCAGGCTCCCCTCCCCCAGCCCCAAAGGGCCTGAAGGAGGGTCACCAGGAGGTCAGCAGAGCAGATGTGGCTCTCTTTCACAATTGTCAAGAGTAGTAGTCACCGTGACTGCTGACATTTATTGAGTGCTTAGTGTCCACCCTCCCTGAATCCATAATAATAGCCCAATAATGTGTGTACTCTCATCATGCCCATTTTCCAGATGGGGAAACTGAGGTGCAGGGTCACACAGCTTGTAAGTGGCAAACTCAGGATTCGAACCTGAACCATGTGAGTCCTGAAGCCCCAGAGAGGCAGGGCTGGGTGGCTGGAGCCTGGACCTCCACCTGAGGTCTCAGATCTTCTCCAGGTTTGGCTTAGGCAGATGGATTGTTGGAATCCCATACCTGCCACTTGGTGGGGGATGCCGGGCAAGGAATATCCCCACTCCCGGCCTCAGTTTCTCATTTTGTAACATGGGTGCCAAGGTGCTGGGCTCCCGGAGCTGGTCCCTGTAAGGCGCTCAGACAGTGCCTGGGAACCAGTGAGCTCTCTGGGATGGGGGCCATGGCCACTCCTGCCCCCACTTAAGGGTGCAGAAAGGGAGGGCTATCAGCCTGCCTACCCCACCCGGCAGCCCCACCCCAGCCCCGCTCGAAGGGGAGAGCTGAGCCCCCTCCCCGAAGGCCGTGTCCCCAGGGAGATGGTGAGCTCATGCAAGGGGAATGTTCCCAAGTTGGAGTGAGTAAGAGGCGGGCCAGGCAAGGGGGGGCTGCCAGGCGAGGGGGGCTCTGTGTGCCCTCGGGCGCTGTCTAGACAGAGGGCAGAGGCGGAGAGGCGGCTCCAGGGCCCACTGACCCTGACATGTCCAGCTCTGGGTGTTTGACTGGTTGGGCAGGATGCCAGGCCTGGGCCTGGGGGCCTGGAGTGAGGGAAGGTGGGGAGAGCTTCCCACCATGAGTGGGGGTTGTAGCTCGTAGAGGACAAGGAATCCCAGAAGGGTGGCAAAAGGATCCAGAGCTGAGCTGGGATGGGAGCACCTGTGCAGGTCTCTGCCCCTCCTTCCCAGGTGGGGAGCAAATCATCCCCTCTGTAATTACCGAGCACCAACTGCATACATCCCCCAGGGCTGGGAGCCGGGTGTTGGGAGTGGTACCGGAGGGCACCTCTGGTGTGGTAGTCACTGCCCCACCTTGTCCACAGGTGGTGTGTGCTGGCTCCAGCAGGGCCGAGAGGCCACCTGCAGCCTGGTGCTGAAGACTGACGTCAGCCAAGCGGAGTGTTGTGCCTCCAGCAACATTGACACCGCTTGGTCCAACCTCACTCACCCAGGGAACAAGATCAGCCTTCTGGGCTTCCTGGGCCTTGTCCACTGCCTCCCCTGCAAAGGTGAGACCATGGGCGTCAGCCACAGGCCAGGGTCACTGGGACAACTGAGAATGAGCTCCCCATCTCAGGGTGTGCAGAAGGAGGTTGAGTGTTTGTGGAAGGAATCCAGGGTTCAGAGAGAGGCTGGGGACTTGAGGTTCCCAGGCCTCAGCCTCCATCTGTTGAGGATTTGGGAAGAAGCCTCCATCTGTTGAGGACTCCCCAGCTTGGTTTCTAGCCTCTAGGCCCTTGCTCATGCTGAGTGCTCTGCCTGGGTGACCTTTCCCACCTGCACCCCACCTGGGAGAAGTACACTCGACTCACACCTAACCCTGGGGAAGGTGGATTTTCCCAACTGGCCATTTGGGTCTGTGACCCGCCCCCCACCCCCCCGCCAGGCAGTGTTCCAAACACTTAATCTGCCCATAACTGCACAGATTCCAGGGATCTGTGGTGGGACCACAGATTCATGTTTAACAAGCATGTGCCTTCTGGACCATGTTCTGAGAAGTGTTCTCTGCTGCCTCCTTCATCAGACTAGGAACTCCTTGAGGCCAGAATGAATGAATGAATGAGCCAAGACATATTATCTGCCTTGGAGAAGGGGCTGGGGACCCTCCCAGGCCTCTCTGGTCCAGGCCAAACCTGCAGGGGCCCAGAGGTGGTGTGGGGGCATGGCTTGAAGGAGGTGGGCATTAGTACCAGGGTGTTGGGGCATCATTAGGAGTTTGCCAGCTGGAGAAAGTATGGGATCGGGTCCTAGTGGATGGGGCCAGGGCAGGGAGGAGGCTGGAGCTGAGGGCCAAGCTGAGAGCCCAGCTGGCCACTGGGATATGATTAATCCCTGATCAGCCTGGCCGGGTGGTCTTGGGCTCACTGCCATGTGCCCTGGCTCCCTCTAGAACCTCCTCTGGGTTCTGGGAGGAGGACAGACTTCAAAAATTGCATGGCCTGGGCATAAGGTCCAGGTCACCCGCCCACCCGCCCCCCAATCTCATCTGGCCTTGGGGAAGGCAACTCAGTTCTCCCACTTCCGTTCCAGCTTGTGAAGCCACCCAGGGGGAGTGTTTCCAGATGTGTGTGTGGGCAGGCAGCTTGGGAGGTGCCCAGGTGCGGCCCACATGCCCTGGCAGGGGTGACATGGGGGCGCCAGCTCACCCGCTCATTTATGCTCATGCTCTGCCAGTCGGCCTCACCTTACGCACAGGGAAACTGAGGCTGAACTCAAGAGTCTGCCCTCCAGGCCCACAAGCAACAGAGCTGGGGGGGGGGTCCGTCTGGGGTCTGGCCTGGAGTTTTTGCGCTGAGGAGCCCCTGGCTCTCCTCCGCTCACAGCTGTGACGAGGCCTCAGTTTCCCCCTTTTGTAAAATGCTGACAAAATGGCATCACCTCATGGCGGAGTGGTTGGGAGATCGCAATGAGCCTGGGAGGGCCTGTAAGATGAGCAGCTCATTAATGGGTCTGGGTCTGGGTCTGAGTCCGATCTGCTCTGCGTTTCCCAAGGTCCTGGGATGGGGGTGGCGGGGGGGAGACCCCAGAGAGAGAATTGCCCTGGTCAGACCTGTTTCCCTGCCTGCGAAATAGGCCTGGGGGGGCAGGGATAACCCCTGATTCAGGGGGCTCGGGATGTGGGAATCCCCCTCCCCAGGAAATGAGCCTCAGGGCCTAGCGCCAACGCCCCGCCCTCCCCGACGCCTCCTCCGGGTTGGTCCTGGCAGGCAGACGCTGCTCGTCCTCCCCAGACCGGCGCAAGGACGGGGTGGGGCCCCCCTCCGCTGACGCAGTCGGGCCCCCCGCCGGCCTTCCCTTCACGGCGCGTAAATCAGGGAACAGACGCCAGCCCGAGCGGGTGGCCCAGCTGCGGAGCGAGAGCGGGCCCGGGCCCTGGAAGCTCGTTCCTGAACCCCTAGATTCCGGGCAGACACCCGCCTTCCCGCTCACTCTGAGCCCCGCCTCCAGACAGAGCCCCAGCCTCGACTCCCGGCCCACCGGGCGCGGGGCCGATCTCGTCCCCGGCAGATCCCGCACCCAGACTCCGAACCAGTCGTCCTCGCCCGTGTTCCCCGACTCGCGGCCGCTAGCCTCAGAACAGGGGCCGGGGGCGCCGTGGGCTCCGCGGACCTCCGGCCTCGGCCACGCGCCCCCCCCCCCCACGCGCGCGTGCTCTGTGTCCGCAGATTCGTGCGAGGGCGTGGAGTGCGGCCCCGGCAAGGCGTGCCGCATGCAGGGGGGCCGCCCGCGCTGCGAGTGCGCGCCCGACTGCGCGGGGCTCCCGGCGCGCCTGCAGGTCTGCGGCTCAGACGGCGCCACCTACCGCGACGAGTGCGAGCTGCGCGCCGCGCGCTGCCGCGGCCACCCGGACCTGCGCGTCATGTACCCGGGACGCTGCCGCAGTACGTGGGGGCGGGGCCGGCGCGGGCGGGGGCGGGGCCTACCAGCTAGACTCCGGAGAGGGCGCCGCTGGATTGGTTCAGCTGTGGGGTCGGAAGGAGGAAAAGCGGGGTGGGGTTTTGGAAAGGGAGGTCTGGGGCTCACGTGGCGTGAGAGATAGGGGTGCGTGACTCGGGGCGGGGCTTGCGGGTGCAGCCCGGGGGGCGGGGCCTGGGTGTGGGACGGGTGCGGGCGGGGCGCGCGGAGGAGGGGCGGCTTCCGGCGCGGCCGGGGGCGGGGCCTGCGGGTGGGACCTGCCGGACCGCGCCCCTGACCCGCCCCGGCGCCTCGCTCGCAGAGTCCTGCGCGCACGTCCTGTGCCCGCGGCCGCAGTCGTGCGTGGTGGACCAGACGGGCAGCGCTCACTGCGTGGTGTGTCGCGCGGCGCCCTGCCCCGCGCCCTCCAGTCCCGGCCAGGAGCTCTGCGGCAACAACAACGTCACCTACATGTCCTCGTGCCACCTCCGCCAGGCCACCTGCTTCCTGGGCCGCTCTATCGGCGTGCGCCACCCGGGCAGCTGTGCAGGTGCGGCGCGGAGCGGGGAGCAGCGGCGGGGTCTAGCGTCCCGCCCCTCTCCGCGCCCCCATTTCTCTTTTCGCCCCTCCCATTCTGCAGGCACCCCTGAGCCGTCAGATGCAGGGTCGGAGGAGGAGGAGGAGAACTTCGTGTGAGCCTGTGGGGCCGGCTTGGGCCTGGCGTTCAAGGCCTCCCCGTTTTATTTATTGCCACAGCCGAATCTAATTTATGTCCCATGGACGCTTCCCAGAGCCTGGACAGGGACCACCTGGGGCGGGGGGGGGGGCCGGGGGCCCCCCGTGACAATCTTGGGGGGGGTGGGGGGGGGGGGAGGCCTGGGAGTGTGGCTGGTGGGTGGGGCTCCCACCGCAGGCACCGTGCTGCCCAGGAGGACCCCATGCTGCTTCTGCTCTAGGGGATAACTTAATTATCACCACCACCGAGAGGGCTGGGGATTCACCCCTGCCGGCAATTAATGAAGAAGCACCCCGGCCTTCTAGGCTACAGACTGGGAGTGAGGAAGGGGTCCGCGGCCTGGGTGTGTATAAATGAGCCTCAGAACCTACTCAGGCCTCAGGTAGACCAAGGAAGCAGCCACTGTCCCCAACCAGCTCAAGAACTCCAGGGTTTACCTTCCCTCCTGCTCCCATTTCCCTAGTATGTCCTGTGGTGGCCCCTTAGAAAAGCCCAGCTTGTCCCCTGGAGTGTGTGAGGGGCTGTCTGTGTCTCCTGACACGGGCCTTGGGCCAGCATCAGCCCAGAGTGGGGCATTATGTCCAGTGGTGCCCAGTGCACTTGGGGCGGGACCCAGGGGGGCACAGGAGCCCCTGCTCACCCACTGGCCCGGGGTGGGGTATGTGCACCAGGACCCACTCTGTACCCTGCCTTCTGGAGCCATGTGTCTGAGCGGCACCCCTAGTTCTGGCTGCCCCATCCACAGGTGAGGTCCAGACCAAAACCCCTCAGTCCCATGAGACTTGCCCTGGCCAAGCCTCTTAGCCCAGTTCCAACTGGACCCTCCTCACCCACCAGCCGGCTCAGGAGTCTTCACACCAGCCAGATGCTGGCCTTGGGCCAAGTCCCTGCTTTCTCTCTGGGCTGTTGCTTGGTGTCCCTGCTCTGTGGGGACCAGAGCGTCAGGCCACACGTGGGGGGCCCAGCGGGCAAGAGTCCAGCTCTGAGTTTGGGGGAGCTGCACAGGAGCGGTTGTGCTCCGCCTCTCCTAGCCCCTCAGAAGTGCCTTACCTGTGACCCTGAGAAGTGCCCTTGAGTAATGGGTTCACCCGAGCCCCCCGACAAGGCCATCTCCCCTAGCCTGGGGTCCTGCCTCACCAAAGAAATAAAGACTCCACTTTGGAGTGTCCAAGCCTTGGTTTGCCTCTCTCTCTCTCTCTCTCTCTATCTCTCAGCCTCTGTGCTGCCCCCCTTTGGTAGTGGGTCACCAGCCGGGGGCCCTGGGGTGTTGGGGTGGTGAGTGGGGAGAGACCCCTTCTGTCTCTGGGCCTCAGTGTCCACCTCTGGGCAGCATCTGGGGAGACAGCTGAGGACGGTAATGTGCAGAGCTGGGGGCGTGCAGGGAGAAAGCCTTTCTGGAGCAGAAGGAAGAGGGATCAAGATGGCTTAGGGCACCCCCAGGAATCCCCCTGAAGGTACCCCCAGGAGGCCTGGCCTAGAAGGGTTGGGGGTGTGATAATAGCAGTAATACAATTAATGATGATGCAACAACAGTAACACCAGCTGGGCCTTACCCAAACCTTGTGACAAGCCGGGCACCGTTTGTTGGAAGCACTCTTCAGAGAATGAGAACAGACTGCACGTGGAGCCAGGCCAGCCTGAGACCCCACCCTCTCCGGCCTTGGCTTCCCCATCTCCGCGTGGGAGTGGTTAGCTGGAGGCTGAAGGAGTGCCACGTGGGGGGCACTGTGTGGGCAAAGGCCAGGAGGCTGCCCCGGCTGTGGGTTGGGGGTGGGTCAGTGCGGGGAGGGTGGTGAGGGGCCTGGGTCCTGAAGCAAGCGGCTCATCGTCACTCAGGGAGGCAGTGGCAAAGCCAGACTCTCGGCCACACCGAGGCACAAGAGAAGCTCGAGAGAACGTGGATGGACCCTGGAGATGAACCATCCTGTCTGGTTATTCAGTTAACATTTTATTTCGTCATTTTGGCCCTTTGGGTTTGGAACTGATGCCCTCTCCTACCCCACCCCCCAACCCATACATGCCAGGCTTCCCCAGGGCTTGGGGGGGCCCGTGGATGACCTGCCCTGGCCATGGGATTTCCAGGGAAGGAGCTATTTGAATCGTTTGCCATCTCGTTTGTATACCCAGTGCTGCTGTGGTTCCGGCGACTCCTGCAGGGACCTGGTGGTCTTGGGCAGGGGGCTGGGCCGGGGCCCTCGCACCACATCCCATATCCAGCTCACGAAGGCAGACACCTGCGTGTACACATCGGGGGTCTTGGGGTCGCCGCACCACAGTCCAGAGAAGGAGACAAGGCCGTGGGCCCGGTTCCTGCACACCAGGGGCCCCCCAGAGTCCGCCTGGGGGTGGAGGGAAAGGCAAGTTCAGGCGTCCATCTCTGGGCCTGTTTCCCCAAAGGAGCTTCTATGTGCAAATCTGACCAGGACCCTTCCCTGCCTCGAAACCCTTCCATGGCTTCCTAGTGCTCTTCCAGCAAAAACGATGCTTACAGCCTTCAGGGGCCGTGAGCATCTAGCTCTCACCCACCTGTCTGTCCTCCTTTCCTTTCGTTTTGGCCCCACCAGCCTTCTGGGCTGTTCCTGAAGTAAACCAAGCTTGCTCTAGTCTCTGGGCTTTTCCATATCCTTGAGACCTGTTACTGCCCCCTTTCAACACTGCTGGTATAGATATACAAGTCTGCAGTACTTTGTGCAGTAGGCAACCTGCACAGCTGTACATGGCAGCCCTGAGATGAGTCTCTGCCTGGCATGCCTTCCCTCAGATCTCCTCAAGACTCCTTCAAATCTCAGCTCAAAAGGTGCTCTCCTCAGGGAAGCCGCCTTGAATACTCACCCTAAAATTCCTACTTTCTCCCCTCCTCTCCCCTCCCCAGTCCTATCACCCTAACTAATCTAGAATCAACTCTGACCCTATGAAGTAGGTATGATTAGCATGGCAGTTTTACAGATGGAGAAAGGTCCAGAGAAGTGAGGTGACTTTTCCAAGGCCACACACCTGGGAAGTGGCACAGTCTGGATTTGGACCCACACAGCTGGACTCCAGAATCTGTGTTTTGAATCACTACACTCTTTGCCTGGAACAAAAAATCCTCCAGATTGAGTTTCTCCCTCAGCATCAGGACCAGGGCTGCCATTAGTCCATACAGGGAGCAGAACCTCCTTGATCAAGATGTGTACTGCACCCCTACTGAACACTGCTTATAGAAACACAAATCTGGAGCCCTTTGTGCAGTGCATAACCTGCACAACTGTACATGACAGCCCTGTGACCTTGGAAAATTCTTTGTCCTTCCAGGGTCTCAGGTGAGGTCTCACCTGGTCTCAAAGGTGAGCTGGGACTTAGTTCCCAAGCCTCTGCCCATCTCCAGCCCTCTCTGTGGGCCTCAGTTTCCCCATACCATAGGCAGGCAGGGTGGAGACAAGTATCTTACTGAGCAGAAGCCACGCCGCCGGCGGTCCCCACTTTGGGTGCAGAGCATGCCAGGGCTCAGCTGGCCCCTCCAAGAGCTGTTGCAGATGTCCAGGCCCAGCACGCGGACCTCAGCCTCCATCAGCCCGGGCGGCAGGTCCTCAAAGTCAGATATGGAGCCCCAGCCAGCCACCTGGCACCGCGCCCCAGCCTTGAGTGGCCTGGCACCTCTCTGTGGCAGCTTCAGCAGCCCCACTGCAGGACCCAGGACAGCAGAGCGGTTCAGCTGCAGAGAGACTGCTGAGTTAAGGTTTACCCCGTGATCTCCTGCCGCGGTTTACCCATCATGACACCTGGTCTCTAATTGGCCTCGTGGAGAGAAATCAGTAGCAGCCAAGAGGCCATCAGGAGGCCCTGCCCATCAGGCCTCACCCCCTCAGACCACGGCTCTGGCCTCCCCTGCTGCCAGAAATAAGTGTCCTTCTAACCAGCATCTCCCCTGCTTGTAAGCCCTCCCCCGTCTCCCCGTCTCCCCGTTGTGCTTGGGACGATACCGCTTGCCTCACCATTCAGCCCTCCCCTCCAGGCAGAATGAACTTACTGTCATTCCCTGGTCCCCCACCCCTTCAGGCTGGAATACCTTTCCTATCCGGCCTTCAGGTGTCGGCTTAGATGTCGCCTCCTCCGGGAAGGCTTCCTAGACTCCCGGGGTAGGACAGAGCCTCCTCGGGGCTTCCATGGGCCCCTGTCAGGGCCAGTTTACTCAGCTGCCATCCTGTTGGACTGGAGGCTCCAAGGGGACCAGCCCTGGGGCTCTTTGTTCGTGGCTATATCCCCAGTGCCCAGCACACAGCTGGTGCTCAATCAATGTTTATGGAATGAATGACTCAGGCCCCAGGTTTTGGTATTCACTCACTCCTTGTGGACTTGGCCCTGCCCCGACCATACCCCAGCCTTGGTTTCCCCAGCTGCATAATGGGATGGGTGAGCTGTGGCTTCCAGGTTTTGGGGTTTCACAGATGAGCAAAATCCACATGTGAGCTTTGGCCACTGACACTTGCTGCACCCTTCTAATTTTGCCGAGAGAATATGGCACCCCAAGCCCTCCTGTTCCCAGGGACCTGTTTCTGTCATGTGGAATGTCCCTCTGTTTTGGACATTCCCCTTTTCTCCACATTTGGAGAGCAGGTCTGAGGTGTTTTCTCATTAAAACGGAGGTCCTGAGATGCATGGAATTGAATTTGGGGCACCTGAGTGGGAGATGTGGGGGGTTGCCCCCAAGCAGAAGGGGGCCATGGGGGGTCCGAATGGATGCACCCTGTGTGAGCAGGGAGGGAAGCTCACCTTTATGGGAAGAGCTGCTTCCTGCCCAGAAACCCCACAAAGGGCCTGGGGAGCAGGGACTGGAGTATCCGATGCCCTAGGGTCTCATCTGTTCTGAACATCGAGGCCTGCTGTGGGCCATAAATGGCCACAGGAGAAAAAATCCCTGTCCTCCCAGTCTGGAGAGGAAGCAGTGAACAATGGTAAAGAAGCAAATGTTTTCAGTGGTGCTGGACCCAGGATAGGTGGGCCAGAGGGAAGGGATTGGGGAGACGGCAGGGGGTGGGGCAGCTTGCAGAGGGGGCCTCCTGAGAAGGGAACATTTGAGCGAAGACTTGAGAGAGTTGAGGGAGGGAGAAAGCCGGGT